CGTCAACGAGCTGATTGGACCTTATCAGTGTGGCTTTAGGCCTGGAAAATCCACCATAGATCAGGTATTCACAATACGCCAAATCTTGGAAAAGACCCGCGAGAATAGGATCGACACACACCATCTATTTGTCGATTTCAAAGCCGCTTTCGACAGCACGAAGAGAAGTTGCCTTTATGCCGCGATGTCTGAATTTGGTATCCCCGCGAAACTAATACGGCTGTGTAAAATGACGTTGAGCAATACCACCAGCTCCGTCAGAATAGGGAAGGACCTCACCGAGCCGTTTGATACCAAACGAGGTTTCAGGCAAATGGACTCCCTTTCGTGTGATTTCTTTAATCTTATGTTGGAGAAGATAATAAGAGCCGCAGAACTGAACCGCTCAGGCACAATACTTTATAAGAGCGTACAATTGCTGGCGTATGCCGACGACATCGATATTATCGGTAAAAACAAGGGCTACGTCTGTTCTGCCTTCTCGGGATTGGATAGAGAAGCAAAGCGAATGGGTCTGGTGGTGAACGAGGACAAAACGAAGTATCTCCTGTCATCACACAAGCAGTCAGAGCATATGCATCTTGGCACCCACGTCACTGTTGACAGTTGCAAGTTTGAAAAAGTAGACGACTTTGTTTATTTGGGAACCAGCATTTACACCAATAATAATGTCAGCCTTGAAATCCAACGGAGAATCACTCTTGCCAACAAGTGCTACTTTGGGCTGAGTAGGCAATTGAGAAATAAAGTCCTCTCTCGTCGTACAAAGATCACACTCATCATGCCTGTGCTGGTGTATGGCGCGGAAGCATGGACAATGAAAGCATCTGATGAGGCGGCTCTTGGAGTTTTCGAGAGAAAGATTCTGCGAAAGATTTACGGACCTTTACGCGTTGGTGATGGCGAATATCGCAGACGATTTAACGATGAGCTGTATGAGCTTTACAACGATATAGACATAGTGCAGCGAATTAAAATTCAGCGGCTCCGCTGGCTTGGCCATGTCGTTCGGATGGACATAAACGCTCCTGCTCTGAAAATATTCAACGCGGGCCGCGATGCTGGTAACAGAGGAAGAGGAAGGCCTCCTCTGCGTTGGAAAGACCAGGTGGAGAAGGACTTGGCTTCACTTGGCATTTCTGATTGGCGTCAGTTAGCACAGAAGGGAAATGACTGGCGTGCTGTTTTGGACTCGGCCAAAATCGTTTAGGCGGTTAGAGCGCCAATAAAGAAAAGAAGAAGAATCTCCGCCTGAAAAATGGGTAGCTGCCCATTGGTACCGATTTTTTAAACTTCAGCCCAAAAGTGCCAGCCCCAGTTTTTCCATTATCAAGCTTAGATCCATCTGTGTACCAAACCTCCCCATTAAGTTTGGTGTATGGGTTCTCTGTATTCCAGAGAGCTCGATCTGAAATGTATACCTCAAATTTACTAGAGATTTCTAGTTTTTGGAGCACTTTTAGATAGGTGACAATTCTTTTGAAAATATTTCCAAATCAAGATTTTTCAATTACATTGCAATATTTCATTTATTTAACCAATTTAACTGTGTTTAGGCCTGTAGACTAAACCAAACAATCCAAGACAGTCCACTTCAATGCTTAATAATATACGTATGTACGCACACATGTATACATGTATTTATTAAAAACTGTCATAAACTTTTCCCGCCAAATTTACTATAGTTGAGTTTCCCCTCCAAACAGTTTTACTTCTTTGAGGTTGAACCATAACCGATTCAACCATAAACGACAATCAGCCACCACCCATCGTCACAAACACTTAAGGTAATATTCCGTATTCGCTTTTCATTTGCACACAGCCATACATAAATAATAATAAATCAAACATATCTGACGATGGACTAATTTTTCGTTGGTTTATTTATTGAAAATATATTGGTGAAATCTACGGCAACAGACTGAGTTTTCGAGTTCAAATTTTCAAATGGGTGGCAACCCTCCTCAAAAATATTTCCAAACGTCATCTTTCTTAAACCTATTTAATTTGATACCTGTATTGTAATAAGCCATTTATTTCATCAATTAAATTTAGTTAAATTTTCAAACAGATGGAAACCCTCCTCAAGCATATTTTCGGCTGCAAGCCTTCTTAAAAATCTAAAGTTTGTTACACACGTTGCAATATTTGACTTGTTTTATCAATATAATAAATAATTGAGTTAAAGTTTTCAAATAGTTGGCAGTCCTCCTTAAAATTGTTTTTGACAGTTATATTTCTTAAACATATATAATTTGATACCCATATTGCAATGTTTCTTTTATTTTATCAATTTAACTGAGTGAAAATTTTTAAATAGGTGGTAACCCATCTAAAAATTATTTTCGACAGTTATCTTTCTTAAACCTATTTAATTTGATACCTGTATTGTAATAAACCATTTATTTTATTAATTAAATTTAGTTAAATTTTCAAACAGATGGAACCCTCCTCAAGCATATTTTCGGCTGCAAGCCTTCTTAAAAATCTAAGGTTTGATACCCACATTCAACATTTTATTTATTTTATCAATTTAACTGAGTTTAAATTTTCAAAAAGATGGCAACCCTCTTCCACAATATATCTAACAATCATTAACCGCTTTTAGTTTGATAACTGTAGTGCGATTCCCATTTTTCTTAACGACAATATTCGAATCGTTAGCTAACGATTCCGACAAGTTTCGTTAATTGCAATTCTCAAGCACACTTTTAGCGAATATTGTCGGTAGCTTTGACAGTTGTCTAACGAAATTTGTCGATAGCCTAGCTACGAATATTTTGTCGTTGAAAAGCCTAATGATAAAATTGGTTGAAGTTTTTATTGAGAAAAATTAGGCAAAATTCATCGGTAGGCAAACTATTATAATACAAAATAACTAATAAATAAACATTTATCACATATAGATGTGCTTATTAATATTATTATTTTTATACCCGAGCGCACTTGTGCACAAGGGTATATTAATTTTGTTCACATAACGGTTGTTTGTAACAGCCAAAACGAATTGAGATAGATATAGACAAATGTATACATATATGCTCAGAATGAATAGAGAAATCGATTAAGCCATGTCTGTCTGTCCGTCCGTCTGTCCGTCCGTCCGTGTACACGATAACTCGAGCAAAAATTGAGATATCTCAACGAAATTTGGTATGTAGGTTTCTGTTAATCCACGGTCGGTTGGTCGTGAAAATGGGCGAAATCGGACAGTAACCACGCCCACTTCCCATATAACGGTAATTTCCAGAAATACGAAAACTGCGATATTTTAGTAACTACTGAAGATAATTCACTCAAAATTGATATTTACAATAATTTTTAGACGAAAAATAAGAATATTATAAATTTTTGGAAAATGGGCGTAGCCACGCCCACTTATGGTTACATGTGTATATCTTGGTAACCGCTGCACCAATTTCTTCCAAACTTGGCACAGTTGTTGGCCTTGGTACAGCATAAAAAATCGCCGAAACTTTTTAAAATCGGACAATAACCACGCCCACATCCCATATAACGGTAATTTAGAGAAATACAAAATCTTCGATAAATCAGTAAATATTGAAGCTAATTTATTCAAAATTGATGCTTGCAACAATTCTTTACCAAGAAATATGTTAAAGGTAAAATTTTGGAAAATGGGCGTGGCACCGCCCACTTATGATAACATATACGTATATCGGTAACCGTTCTACCAATTTGTACCAAACTCGGTACGGTTATTGTGCTTGCCACATAAAAGACAATTGTTAAAAACTATTGAAATCGGGCTGAAATTCCGGCCGCTTTTCATATAACGGTAAATTTCAGAAATGCTTGAAACTGCAATATTTCGAAATTTAAGGACGCTACTCAAAATTGGTACACCCCGGTTTACCATCTAGCGGTAGCTTTCGGAAAGGTGAAAAAACATATATTTAATACTTGCGCCGGGTATTTAATGCTCGGCTCCGCCCGAACTTAGACTTTCTTACTTGTTATTTATTACACTGAAAGTTGAAAACTTAGGCAAAGGTTTTGATAGTTGATCTCACTTAATTGGGGAACTCTAAATTCAATGGCTTCCCCCGTTTTGTCAGATTGGCTCCAGTGTTCTAGATAACGACACTTGAACATTTGCTCCAATTTTAACTTGTTTGTAAATAACTCAGTTTTTGTGTTGTTTTAATAAAATTTTTAACAAGACTGATTTTTATAGTAAAGGTTATTTTAAAAAATAGTCACGTGATAAAGTTTAGTAAAATGACTTAAACGGACTTTGTCGGAGTTATTAAAAAAAAAACTTAAAAATTTAAACAAATTTTCAAGTACTGTTACGTCGAAAACTAGAGCCACAGCTGAATTTTTAGACGTGGGAAGCATAACGTGAAAATGATGTGTTTGTTGTAATTCATACTGTAATTGTGCGTATAATTTTTTACTTATATACGGCTAACACCACCTTATTAAATTCGCCTTGCGCGAGGCCCTTATTGCAAAATAAAAAGTCCAGCATCCTATGGTACTGCTCCGTAGTAGCTTTTGCGCTTCTGTTTTTTTTTCATATTGTATTCACAAACAACAATCTCGACAACAATAATACGCGCAACAATAAAATGTTTCTTTTAAATATTGAGTGTCAAACGTCAATATTGCCATATTTGTCTTTATAATTAACGACAATCCTCGTAAACTTCTTTATCGACATGTCTAACGAAGGGAAGGCTAAATCGTGGACATTCTTAATCGAATATACTCTATACGTTTAGCAGAAAAAGAGGCAAAATCTATAAAATCCGTTCCGTGCATTTTACAGTACAGTAGTGCGATTTTTCCTAACGACCGAAATTCGTTATGGATAATGAACGACGTTTGTAGCTTGCAGTAGCGAATAGGCTATTCTCAAAAACACACTTAACGACAGAATTCGTTGGACATGTCGATAAAGAAGTTTACGAGGATTGTCGTTAATTACAAAGACAAATATGGCAATATTGACGTTTGACACTCAATATTTAAAAGAAACATTTTATTGTTGCGCGTATTATTGTTGTCGAGATTGTTTTTGTGAATACAATATGAACAAAAAACAGAAGCGCAAAAGCTACTACGGAGCAGTACCATAGGATGCTGGACTTTTTATTTTGCAATAAGGGCCTCGTGCAAGGCGAATTTAATAAGGTGGTGTTAGCCGTATATAAGTAAAAAATTATACGCACAATTACAGTATGAATTACAACAAACACATCATTTTCACGTTATGCTTCCCACGTCTAAAAATTCAGCTGTGGCTCTAGTTTTCGACGTAACAGTACTTGAAAATTTGTTTAAATTTTCAAGTTTTTTTTTAATAACTCCGACAAAGTCCGTTAAAGTCATTTTACTAAACTTTATCACGTGACTATTTTTTAAAATAACCTTCACTATAAAAATCAGTCATGTTAAAAATTTTATTAAAACAACACAAAAACTGAGTTATTTACAAACAAGTTAAAATTGGAGCAAATGTTCAAGTGTCGTTATCTAGAACACTGGAGCCAATCTGACAAAACGGGGGAAGCCATTGAATTTAGAGTGCCCCAATTAAGTGAGATCAACTATCAAAACCTTTGCCTAAGTTTTCAACTTTCAGTGTAATAAATAAAAATAATAATAATAATAAGCACATCTATGTGTGATAAATGTTTATTTATTAGTTATTTTTTATTATAATAGTTTGCCTACCGATGAATTTTGCCTAATTTTTCTCAATAAAAACTTGAACCAATTTTATCGTTAGGCTTTTCAACGACAAAATATTCGTAGCTAGGCTATCGACAAATTTCGTTAGACAACTGTCAAAGCTACCGACAATATTCGCTAAAAGTGTGCTTGAGAATTGCAATTAACGAAACTTGTCGGAATCGTTAGCTAACGATACGAATATTGTCGTTAAGAAAAATGGGAATCGCACTACTGATTCCATATATACACATTTGATGCTGCCTTTTTTGGCCTTTTCTACATTTAAAAATGTGATTATACCGAGGAAAAAGCCCCTTTTCCTAATAATATGAAAGTTTCAAATGTTCCATATTTAAATTGTGCGACACTTGTATCTACCCACGTCGAGCGCACGTTTAGTACATTGATGGCTTTTCTTCGCAAAAATCGAATGAAAATGTTGCCACAAAACTTCAAAATACATCTAGTGGTTCGATGCTACTACAACTATAGAGATTAAAGTTTTGTGAGTTAAAAAATCGAAAGGACAAAATAGTCAAAAATTCAAAGTACAAATTTTTCATATCATGAAACTAAATAGTTCATAGTTTTTCTCTTTTTACTTGTAATATAAGCATTTCTAAAATAAATGTATTATTTGATTTTTTTCGGGTTTTGTCTTTTTTTAGTGCCTTCTTTTGCCTTTTCGCGATCTAGTGCCTTTTCCTGCCTATTTCGCTATATTATTTTGCCTTTTCCGGCCTATTTTGTTATTTTATTATGCCTTTTTTATGGGTGTTTAGGTCCTAAAAATGCGTTCCCTGGTAATATGTCATTTATTTTATTAATTAAATTGAGTTAAATTTTCAAACAGGTGGCAGCCCTCCTTAAACATATTTCCGGCTGTAAGCCTTCTTAAAACTCTTTAGTTTGACACCCACATGGCAATATTTCATTTACTTTATCAATCTAACTAAGGTAAAATTTACAAACAGGTGACAAAACTCCTCCAGCCCCAGTTTAACCATTAGCAAGCTTAGGTCCATCTGTGTACCAAACCTCCCCATTAGGTTTGGTGTATGGGTTCCCTGTATTCCAGAGAGCTCGATCTGAAATGTGTACCTCAAATTTCCCAGAGATATCTAGTTTTTGGACGATTTTTAGATAGGTGACAATCCTATTGAAAATATTTCCAAATCAAGATTTTTCAAGTACATTGCAATATTTCATTTACTTAACCAATTTAACTGCATGAATCTCTGCCTGGAGGATGGTTCCGTGCGCAGAAGTGGAAAACATTTGACTGCCATTCACCTGGGAGTGGCTAGAAGCAATTCTTGTGCGTACGGTTCAAATCGCAGCTCACACCGTCCGGATATTTATATCCACGTATCGTCTGGGCAGCGACGACCACGGCAAACGTATAAAGGACTATGATTTAAGGATATGCACCTGGAATATCCGGACCCTTAATGGGGAAGGTGCCTCTGCCCGGCTGGTTGATGTCCTCTTGAAGACAAAGGCTGACATCACCGCCATCCAAGAAATGCGATGGACGGGGCAAGGAAAAGCAAGCGTGAAGCCTTGCGACGTCTACTACAGTTGCCACGTAAAGGAGCGCAAATTCGGTGTTGGATTCGTGGTAGGAGAGATACTCCGTCGCCGAGTACTGGCGTTCACCCCGGTGGACGAACGTCTAGCCACAATCCGCATCAAAGCTAGGTTCTTCAACATCTCGCTCATCTGCGCCCATGCCCCGACGGAAGAGAAGGATGAGGCGTCCAAGGATCTCTTCTATGAGCGCTTGGAACGTACATATGAGCGCTGCCCCCGACAGGATGTCAAAATCGTGCTTGGCGATTTTAATGCCAAGGTGGGCAAGGAAGGGATCTTTGGCGCCACTGTCGGAAAATTCAGCCTCCACGACGAAACGTCCGATAACGGACTGAGGCTGATCGACTTCGCCGGGGCCCGAAATATGGTAATATGTAGTACTAGGTTCCAGCATAAGAACATCCACCAAGCTACATGGCTGTCTCCAGATCGAAAAACGAGAAACCAAATCGATCATGTTGTGATAGACGGAAGGCATGCTTCAAGCGTTTTGGACGTACGTACACTCCGAGGGCCAAACATCGACTCGGACCACTATCTTGTTGTAGCCAAGATACGCACCCGCCTCTGTGCAGCAAAAAATGTGCGCCCAACAATGCAAGGAAAGCTTAACGTCGAAAAGCTGCAATCACAACAGACGGCCAATTTATTCGCCACTCGACTCACACACCTGCTCTTTGAGAGCACTCTTCAACAATCCGACATACACGAGCAGTGGAACCACATTTCCCGATCATTCAGTACCGCCGCAATAAGAGAGAGACCGAAATACGTGAGTGAAAAGAGCTTGAAATGCTGGCCGACAGGAAGAACGCCCGAAAATTCTACCAGAGGGTTAGGAGACTTACGGAAGGTTTCAAGACCGGGGTGAACTCCTGTAAGAACAACAACAGCGACCTAGTGACCGTTGTCCAGAATATACTTAAATTGTGGAAGGAACACTTTTACAACCTACTGAATGGTAGCAACGCTGAAAGCAGTAAAGAAGACGAACCCGAGTCCCCAGTCGATGATGATGGAGTAGCTGTCCCACCGCCTGACTATGACGAGGTACGAATAGCGATTACGCGGCTGAAAAACAACAAAGCTGCTGGAGCTGACGGCCTGCCAGCCGAGCTATTCAAGTACGGCGGCGAGGAGCTGATGAGGTGCATGCATCAGCTCGTATGCAGAATATGGTCAGATGAACGCATGCCCGACGACTGGAATTTAAGTGTGCTCTGCCCAATCCACAAGAAAGGCGACCCCGCCATACGCGCCAACTACCGCGGAATTAGCCTTCTAAGCATAGGTTACAAGGTCTTATCGAGCGTATTGTGCGAAAGACTGAAGCCCACCGTCAACGAGCTGATTGGACCTTATCAGTGTGGCTTTAGGCCTGGAAAATCCACCATAGATCAGGTATTCACAATACGCCAAATCTTGGAAAAGACCCGCGAGAATAGGATCGACACACACCATCTATTTGTCGATTTCAAAGCCGCTTTCGACAGCACGAAGAGAAGTTGCCTTTATGCCGCGATGTCTGAATTTGGTATCCCCGCGAAACTAATACGGCTGTGTAAAATGACGTTGAGCAATACCACCAGCTCCGTCAGAATAGGGAAGGACCTCTCCGAGCCGTTTGATACCAAACGAGGTTTCAGACAAGGGGACTCCCTTTCATGTGATTTCTTTAATCTGATGTTGGAGAAGATAATAAGAGCCGCAGAACTGAACCGCTCAGGCACAATACTTTACAAGAGCGTACAATTGCTGGCGTATGCCAACGACATCGCTATTATCGGTAAAAGCAAGGGCTACGTCTGTTCTGCCTTCTAGGGATTGGATAGATAAGCAAAGCGAATGGGTGGTATCTCCTGTCATCACACAAACAGTCAGAGCATACGCGTCTTGGCACCCACGTCACTGTTGACAGTTACAAGTTTGAAAAAGTAGACGACTTAGTTTATTTGGGAACCAGCATTAACACCAATAATGTCAGCCTTGAAATACAACGGAGAATCACTCTTGCCAACAAGTGCAACTTTGGGCTGAGTAGCCAATTGAGAAGTAAAGTCCTCTCTCGTCGTACAAAGATCACACTCTATAAGTATATACTCATCATGCCTGTGCTGGTGTATGGCGCAATGAAAGCATCTGATGAGGCGGCTCTTGGAGTTTTCGAGAGAAAGATTCTGCGAGAGATTTACGGACCTTTACGCGTTGGTGATGGCGAATATCGCAGACGATTTAACGATGAGCTGTATGGGCTTTACAACGATATAGACATAGTGCAGCGAATTAAATTCAGCGGCTCCGCTGGCTTGGCCATGTCGTTCGAATGGACAGAAACGCTCCTGCTCTGAAAATTTCAACGCGAGCCGCGATGCTGGTAACAGAGGAAGAGGAAGGCTTCCTCTGCGTTGGAAAGACCAGGTGGAGAAGGACTTGGCTTCACTTGGCATTTCCGATTGGCGTCAGTTAGCACAGAAGAGAAATGACTGGCGTGCTGTTTCGGACTCGGCCAAAATCGCTTAGGCGGTTACAGCGCCAATAAAGAAGAAGAAGAAGATTAGGTTTGGTGTATGGGTTCTCTGTATTACAGAGAGCTCGATCTGAAATGTATACCTCGAATTTCCTACAGATGTCTAGTTTTTGGACCACTTTTAGATAGGTGACAATTCTATTGAAAATATTTCCAAATCAAGATTTTTCAATTACATTGCAATATTTCATTTATTTAACCAATTTAACTGTGTTTTGGCCTGTAGACTAAACCAAACAATCCAAGACGGTCCACTTCAATGCTTAATAATATACGTATGTACGCACACATGTATACATGTATTTATTAAAAACTGTCATAAACTTTTCCCGCCAAATTTACTATAGTTGAGTTTCCCCTCCAAACAGTTTTACTACTTTGAGGTTGAACCATAACCGATTCAACCATAAACTACAATCAGCCACCACGCATCGTCACAACCACTTAAGGTAATATTCCGTATTCGCTTTGCATTTGCACACAGCCATACATAAATAATAATAAATCAGACATATCTGACGATGGACTAATTTTTCGTTGGTTTATTTATTCTATTGGTTTATATTGAAAATATATTGGTGAAATCTACGGCAACAGACTGAGTTTTCGAGTTCAAATTTTCAAATGGGTGGCAACCCTCCTCAAAAATATTTCCAACCGTCATCTTTCTTAAACCTATTTAATTTGATACCTGTATTGTAATAAACCATTTATTTTATTAATTAAATTTAGTTAAATTTTCAAACAGATGGAACCCTCCTCAAGCATATTTTCGGCTGCAAGCCTTCTTAAAAATCTAAAGTTTGTTACACACGTTGCAATATTTCATTTATTTTATCAATTTAAATAATTGAGTTAAAGTTTTCAAATAGTTGGCAGTCCTCCTCAAAATTGTTTCGACAGTTATATTTCTTAAACATATTTAATTTGATACCCATATTGCATTGTTTCTTTTATTTTATCAATTTAACTGAGTGAAAATTTTTAAATAGGTGGTAACCCATCTAAAAATTATTTTCGACAGTTATCTTTCTTAAACCTCTTTAATTTGATACCTATATTGTAATAAGTCATTTATTTTATCAATTAAATTGAGTTAAATTTTCAACCAGGCGGCAACCCAATTCAAACATATTTTCGGCTGTAAAGTTTGATACCCACATTCAATATTTTATTTATTTTATCAATTTAACTGAGTTTAAATTTTCAAATAGATGGCAACCCTCCTCCAAAATATTTCTAACAATCATTAACCGCTTTTAATTTGATACCTGTACTGTAATATGCGCGGAACGGATTTTATAGATTTTGCCTCTTTTTCTGCTAAAGAGATAGAGTATATTCGATTAAGAATGTCCACGATTTAGCCTTCCCTGATTCCATAT